GATGTTAACACGTGTTTTATTGTAATATAAGTTATTTATACAAATATTGTAAACTTGACATTGTACTACTTAAGATAGGACAGTTAGACGAACTCCAGAACAGTGTTGGGCGAAGACTGTACCTAAGTGTCAACTTCTTCTTCTGCATGTCTACGTTCGTACCAATTTTGAGAGTACATTCAGCGGGAAAAATCAAGAGTCCTGAAATAGTTTTAAATGAGAATAGAAGATTTAGTAAAAATTATTAAAATGATACATAAAAAGAAGTTAACTTTTTTATATATAGAATAAGGTTGACAAACATGGCCACAGTTGACCTGATGGTAAATCAATTCATTAAGAGTTAAAACACAGATGCATTATCACCCCTGAGGGCTAAAATGTGACACTTAGTTTACGGTAAAAAAGAGATTCTGACTCTCTTCGCTCACCATACGAATCACAGCAGCATTGAGCTACCATTTTACACAGGTATTCTGTGACAGAGTGGTCCCTTCTCCGGTTAAACCGACCCGTTCGTGTTACAACTATAATATAACTGCAGCGTGACTCTACCACGTGCAACTTAAACTGGCTATCGAGCATGACGATTAAGTCAAGTTCTCGCAATAATGGGAGAGACCCATGTCTTTGAAGCCATGAATTTTAAAAGCTGAAGAATTAGAATATATTTCACATATTACAAACAACATATTGAGCTGTTATAGTACAGGGGTTGAGCGCTAGATATAAAATGCATATAAAACGACGAAATCGAATTCGATCCCCGCTGTCACCAGAGTTCTATTCACAGTTGAAGCGCTAATTTACCAAGTGCTATATGGTAGAACTTTTACTCATTTCTACCACCATGTAATAGTTGTGTGACCACTCCTCTCTTTAATTATAAGGGCTTCGTCTGTTGCAATTATCCATAGGTTACAGTAGCAACCAATAATCTTGTATAATGGAAATTATCGTAAGGTAACATTCACGTTGGAATCATTTAATACATTTCAAGGACAGTTAAAGTCTCCCAATTTGCGTGAGAGCAGCTAGGCGGATTCATTACTGCGTATTAGCCAATTGAAAATGAGAAGAGACTAAGCCCACCCTGTGGGAAATTTTTTATACAGAATGGGGTCTTGTCGATTAAAAGTTCAAAGAAATCATCATCACATATCTTATTGCAACAAAAGCATAATTACTTATTCCACGCGAAGGTGGTCGCGGGCACAGGTAGTGAAATACATTTAGAAAAAAAAACTATAATCACACTAAAAAAAATTAGAAGTATTAGTAAAAATATGAGGGAGGCTTTTGTTCAGCTGTGGACCTATGCTATAATGATAGTAATGATGTTACTTTAAATGAGGTATAAACGCCATAATTATTACATGGTGCCGTCCACTATCTTCACATTCCTGTACCTTTATCTTAACATTATGTTTATTGATATGTAATGCTTTTTAAATTTAAATGACCCCGAATTATAAACTTTATTTATTTAACAGCTTCAGTTTTTCTTCAAGTTTTCAAATTTATCAGTTTCGTTAATATTATATTTAATTTTACTTTATGTTATATTCTAAAATAATCCCGCCTAGTTTTAACATGTTCATAGTTATTATAGTAGATAATAAATCGAAATAATTTAAGAAATATGCACTCACCGAAAATCAACAAAAATATTAAAGAAACATCGGATTTCACTTTGAGCTGAAGCGGAGACGCAAACACTAATTGACTGACTGACCTAAAATCGAACTTCACTTTATTGAAGTTTACCTTAGTAAGATTTAATATCATCGATTTCTCACCTACGTTAACTTGAATAATATTTACTTGAATAATATTCTTTATGAATCAGGGAAAAAGGTTCTCATTCGCATGAACGACATTTAAAACTGTATAAATGATCAAAGGTAAACTGAATCGCTTCATTGGCTATCAAATGGCAACAACAGAATTATCAAAGTTACGTTATATTTCCTTGAGAACTCCATATTTGCTAATACTTAAAGTTAAGTATTAACATTAAAAGGTCCTAAAGCTAAATAACAAAAAGCTAAGTTTGCCTGTTTGTGTTTTCGTAAGTAATTTTTATAAACAAGCTATTGTAATGATAGCTTTAAGTATGTAGGAGAATCCGTTGTCGCTCAGGGGTTGTTTCCTGTAAATTTCACAGTACGCAGCGACCCGGGTTCAATTCCCGCAGGCACGAATGGTAATGGTAACAATTTGAATACGTAATTATTACGTCCTCGGTGGAGAAAAATAAACATTGTAGAAACAGCAGAGGAAAATAACTGGATGACACTTGAGCAGCGAAGTGAAAAAAATGATAAATACATAGGCTGTAACTTTACGTTGCAAGAATGCTTGTGAAAATATTACGAATCCTTTTTTTAGATGTGACTATTTTACGCTCACCTAATTAATTCATTAAATGACCGCCGGACAATATGTTCAGGGTAAATCATTAAGGTTTTTTTTATCAGGGGATCCTGGTTTAAAACCAACCGGATCAACATTTACTTAAAATTTATATTTTTACATGAACTTATTCATACCACTGTTAGACGACCGCATGACCTTTGACGATTCCTGGCGTTCTAATCCCAACCTAACCCAATTGTCTTGTGAATATGCCTCTGAGAGTCTGATACCGATTTCATATGGTTAAAATACACTGCAACTGTGAAAAGAACGCGGCATGACGAAGAATGAACAATGCACTAAGTACCCAGTACCGACATAAAACACCAGCGTAATGCTGTTATATTTCATATACTTCCAATCGGGAACCTGAGGCTTACTAGTAACGAAACAAGGCATTTCATCTTATACGCATTAGAGTTTGACTCTTAGGCGAAAATGGAAATAGATATGTACGATCTTGAGCAGAGCCTGGTTAATTGCAAACTGTGACTTCATTTTCAGCGTAAAAACTAACTTGTCTTCAGGGTGACAAAACACTGCCACGTAGACTTCTTTGTTTGAAGTTGTTGCAGATATTACATAATAGAATGTCCGTTCATTTGTCAAATTAAATTTATAAAAATAACATAATACGAGTATCTGTTCAAATCTACTTAAATATAAATTTAAAGTGCGTTCGAGCATTTGAGCTGATTTGAGGTTATGAAGGATCGTGATTCGTGATCATCGGAAAGGATTTCGAAGTGGTTCACACACACCTTAAGCCTGTATCTCGTGCATTATGAACCAAAGGGAAAATGCGTTGTCACTTCTTTGGACTAAGATGTAATAACATGTCAATAAAAATAATCTCCGTTTCTCGTCATTTTCTATATAATAAAGTCATTAATTTAATATCACAAAACCAGCACAAATTGAGATTTCTGTCACGTAGAGTATCATCATCATCATCATCATTACAGCCCTTCACAAGTCCACTGCTGAACATAGGCCTCCCCCAAGTAATGCCACAAAGCACGGTCCTGAGCCACCTGCATCCATCGACTTCCTGCATGTCTTACCAGGTCGTCACTCCATCTAGTGGGGGTCGCCCTACACTACGGCTACCGGTACGAGGCTGCCACTCGAGAACCTTTGTTCCCCATCGGTTATCGGTTCTTCGAGCTATATGGCCGGCCCATTGCCACTTCAGCTTACTAATCCGTTGGGCTATGTCGGTCACTCTGGTCTTACTGCGGATATCCTAATTTCTGTCATCACGCAGATAAACTCCGAGCATAGACCTTGAGCGTCCACATACGACAAGCAGTGAAGGACAACGTCGACTCACCTGACGAGAAGATGTGTCGTAATTTCCCGATCGCTGCCCAGCCGAATTGAATCCGTCGTACACGTAGAGTATATGCGTAGCAATCCCTATATAAACCTTATCTTTTGTTTGTGTATAGGCTAAATAAAGTATTTTTCTATTATTTTTTTTATTATAAACTTTATAGAACATACATCAGAGGTAGCTGCTAATATATTCAATATAAATTTAAATTAAAAACAGTCGCAATTGGCAGTGCCCCCCCCCCCCCCTTATCAATAAGATATTTGCTACCAATTCCCTTTTTTGTTTCATCTCAAAATGACTAATACTAATAAATACTAATGGTATTTCACATACTAGTCTCATACGATACCCGCCAGATGATTTGAGCGATATATTCTTTTTCGCCGTCACCCCGCGATCACGCATTATTAATAAATAACTAAATATACAGATTTCTTATATTAACGCGAACACTACACATTGATTAAAACTACTTTTACGGATTTTATCGCGTTTAATTTTAATTGATTTTTAATTCTCGATGTTTCGGGTGCTTTCCAGTACCCATGGTCCATGGTCTTAAACGCGAAACCGTAAAAGTAGTTTTAATCAACTAAACATAATTTTCTTTTTGCTGACCTAACTGAATGCAGTAATATTTCTAGGGGCTACTAGAGACTTCACAGGCATGTGTATATAATTTTATGCATGACATGTTGATTCGTGATTGAAAAAGTAAAAAAAAACACTTTCTGTTGGACAAATATTTTAACAAAACTCCGCGATTTTTTGACAATACCCGCACTTTATTTCAATCGCTCACATGGATTGTAAATATAGCTTATATAAAAGATTCTATTTATATATATTATACATAATACTTAATTTAAATGTTATCATGTCATTTTGATTGAGAGTTTTATAAGCATATGACGGAATACATGGAGATGAACATTGTGGTTGAGGCTGGTACAATGAAACGACCGCGCACCCTGAAGTCCTGAAGCGCGATGGAGGGTTTGGTTGGAAGCAGATGATGAGTGGGCTCGGTACTCTAATCCTGAGAGGTGTCGCAACTAGTAATTCCGGTGCTGGTGGCTGTATTGGAGGTGGCTGTACCTGAAAGTTCATCATTAAATACTTCTTCTCTAAAGAGTAACATAATAAACATTCACATTGCACATATTTAGCATATTCATTTAAAACAATAAAAACTGTTTTAAATAATTTAAATGATGTACAAGCAGTATCAAACATTCATACTTTAATAAGCAGGCTTAGGTGGTTGAACCGGTGCAGGTTTAACAACAATCGGAGCAGGCCGAGGTGGATACACGGGCTTAGGCCTAACTTCAATTGGTACTGTGGTAGGCGGTTGCACTGGGTCTGGATTCACGTATATTGGAGCCGGGGCAGCTGGTTGAACTGGTGGCGGTTTTATCCAGATAGCAGGTAGTGTTGGCAGACGAATAACTCCTGGTCGGACAATTATTGAGGGAGGTGCCCGAAACCGAATTTGACCAGGTTTTGAGACCAATGAACCTGTAAATCATTAAGTTTTAGTTTTATTTTTTTAGAATGTATTACTTCATAATGTATTAAATTATTTTACTGAATTTAGATTATTTTTAAATGATTTTTGTATGAAAATATATTTTTCTTACCCTGGAGTGCCTGACCATACAAATAGTTAATAGATGGCTCAGAAGGATTGCAGGGACCAATCTTTATGACTTCATTATCATCAGAACACGGAGGTGAGCATGGATCACAAGGATCACGTGGAGGTACTGGCTCACAGGGTTCACATGGAGGATACTCCCCGCAAGGAATTTGAGGATCTGGGTCAGGTATCGGTTGACATTAAGTCGTGGCCAAAATAAGTGCTGCAAAATATTAAAATATAAATTTAAATAATATTTGGAAAATCCAAAAGTGCACGCCTTACACGTTTATTATGTTACAAATTAAAATTAATAGTGTCGATAATTTTAACAAGAAAAAAAAACAGACAATCTGATGGATTTTCATTAATAACTCTTAAATGGTGTTGAGTTAAATAACAAACACAAAGGGGATCCTCCTTTAAATATATGGAATCTTATTTAATACAATGTAATATCTGATTAATAATTAAAAAAAAACGAGTAACAACAAGTAATTTATATTGAATCAATTAGAAAATAAACGAATCTAATAATTTAGTATCTGTAGTTTGTTTTATAGGACAGGGTGATAAACGAGCACACAGTCCACCTGATTGTAAGTGGTTGATGCGGACCATAGACATCTACATCTATCCTTGATTACATATCAAAATGCAGATGCGTTTTCACCCGTGAGGACTAAGATGAAATGCTCCATTTCCAGTAAAAAGGGTCTCCGGTTCTCTACACTCACTATACGAAAAAAGCAGCGTTGAGCTAATATTTCGCGCTGGTTTTCTGTGAGAGTTTGGTCCTTCCCCGGTCGAGCCGAGCCATTCGTGCTATAATTATACTTCTAATATAACTGTTGCATGGCTCTACCACATATAATATAAGTATAAGTTATTGTAACTTTAATAATAATACGGATTTGATGTCTAGCTAAAAGTAAAAAAAAAGCTTTTATGTAGTGAAATTGAGGTGTGGCCACATATCGAGAGTGTAGCACTCCCTCAAGTTTTGAGGCGTGTAATAAATAATTATGTGTTAAGGATACGGGTATACTAATAAGAACAGACAGTAGGATCCTAAGGTCTCCGATCACATCGGCGAGCTTAGATCGTGATTTAAAGTTTGATAACTTCGTAAGGAAGCTGTATGTCTAAGAAAATAAAATGTCGAGGATTAGTGAAATTCACTTCACATTCAGCACGATAAGCAGTTGTATGCTCCATAACCTTCAATAAAAATTATTAACATACACATTAGAATATGATAGTAGTTGTATTTTTGATAGAGTTTTTAATCTCCAAAAAGAAATACCTTCCTTGCATTGTACGAACATCAAGGTCAAATAAAAATAGAATAAAAATAAGAATAACTATAACTACCTGATAACCTAATGACTTTACCCAACGCCATCTTGCGGTCGTCTGATTTATCAAAGTAAAATTTACAATATTTATACATACAAAGAAAATTTTTATAAAATTTAATGTAATCAAACTTTATCGCAAATGTAGATTTTCGAAAAAGTCAATAATGTAACACTTTAATTAGCATAATATTCAAATATTGAAAATATTATTATCTTTAAATAAAATATACTGAAATGGTATGTGAACATAACGTAAAATAATTTCATATTACCCTCAATTCATAACATTTAAATAGCATTTCATGCAAAGTTTATAATTTGATTAAATATCGTAAAATACGCTATGACCCATTCCTTGAAATCAGCAACAAACACAATAAGATTTCTACCGTGTAGTGGCGGTGAAAAAACATCCACTACCCTGTATCATCCCGTGAGTGTCGCAAGAGGTGACAGAGGGATGTAAAATCAGGAGATGGGTAGCAGTGGGAAGTAAGAAGACCTAATAACGAATAAAAAAAATAAACTGTGGTTTATAACCCGCTTGCAAGTGTGACTACTATTGCTAATATCCCACCTGTGGGGAAATCTATGGGGAGGCCTATGTTCAGTAGTGGTCTTTAATAGACCGTAACGTAACAGAATGGAAATAAATTTATATTCGTCACCATTTCCTTCCTTTCTCTTTCCATCTCTTCATCTCTCACCTCTCATTCTGCTATAAATTATAGTTAACCCACTTTATAAATTTTTCATGCGCCACAAGAAGACAAGAGACAGTTATTTGTAGACAATACTAATACATGCTGTGAGCGGGAATCAAACACGCTGCGTCACAGCGTCGCAGCTGAATGATTAGCACTGCGCCACCGACAGGTAACTGTAATATTTATTATGGCGACTTGGTTTTTGGTACTGAATTCTACGATTGATTAAAAAATAATTTGACGGCATTGAAATTCGCCTTTACGCGTTGAAGCTTTACGGCAGACACAGACTCTCTAGGTGGTAGAGCTACGCTGTAGCTATATTATGGTTGTAGCAGGAACGGGTTGGCTTAAACGGGGTGGGAAACGCGAATATCGCAAATAATAAAAAGCTTAATGCTGCTGTATTGTTTGTGGTGAGTGTAGAAAACTGGAGACTTTTTTTTACTGGAAACGAGACATCCATCAATCCATCTTAGTCGTCAGGTGTGACAATGTGCATTATGATTCTTAATTGAGGATAAATGTATATTTCTATGGGTCACAGCATCTACTTGCTATGAGGTAGTCTGCGCACACGTTTGTAACCCTTATTCTATAAAAAAAAAACTTTATGCTCTAAAATCCTCTCAGAAATGTGAATATACCCTGGCCCAGCTGTGACATATATGAAGACTACCACGGCTAATATTTCCAATATGGACCATCGATTTCAAAGCCCATATTTTTTTTGTAGATAGGACTCACTAAAAGAAAGCGTTTTGCAAAGTTTTAGGTTGCGGAAACTTACGGTTCATAAGATATATTTTTTTAAACTTTTCATACAAATTGGTAAATAACACGCAATTACAAAATAAATTTGACAAATGATTGATGTCAAACGTCAGTTAGTGTAGGATTCCGAATATTTTGAAAGTATCGATACCTACTCGATACCAAGTATCGTATCAAAAGTATCAATACTACTTGGTATCGAGTACATTTCGTTAATTTTGGAGACGAAAAATTATGACAAACCAATTAGAGCCATAGGAAGAGCTGATAAGTGCAATTATATATGTATATAAAATAGAATAAAGTTTACTCTATTTAAGTTCCACCTTAGTACTTGTATTTCATTGTTTACAACTTGTTTGTGTTTATTAATTAGTACAGCTTTTGTACTTTTATTTTATTGTTTGCAACTTTCTGTATTATCTAATTCTTACTACTATAAAGTGTTTACTTACTTATTGACTTACTTATTTAATATCCAAAAAGTACCCAAAACCGAATCAGTGCACCCCACTATCCACGTGGTCTTGTCTGCCCTACCCCTAGAGTGTATATAAGAGCCCGGAGGAGCGGAGGGAGACATTCCGCCTGTGGCATCGCTTCCGAGCGGTTGCACCCAGGTAGTCCGCGCTTTCGTTCCTGTACGGTAGTGCTCCCCGCTCTCGCGCCCCCGCTGTACAGCGCCGACGCAGTGCTCAGTCCGCCGGCGGCACCGCTCTCGGACGGTCGCCTCCTGGTGGTCCGCGCTCTCACGCGCCTCCGCTGTCCTGCTCACGCGGAACAGCGTCGAGGCTGCCGGTGAGTCACTTTTTTCGCTACAGCTCTTGCCCCCCTGTCTTCGGGCAGGGAGGTCTGACTGACTTCCGCTTTTCATTTTCACTTGTCATTTCATTTCATTTTCATTATCACTTTTCAATTTTTTTTTACTGTCTCCTTTATTTTCTGTGTTCTTGTTATTCTTGTATTACGTGTATAGTGTGTCGTAGTACGTCTCGCGATCTAGTCCCTGTTCTACCGAGAGCAGGGACCCGTCCTCATCTTTATTTATACATAGCTCTGCTTGCTTACTGACCCAAAATGGCCACACCCAGTTTCACTGAGTCCCTCGCCGCCCTCATTAACCAATTCGGTTTAAATGGCAATGAGACGGTCCTCGCCGCCATCGCCACCATCGCCGCCCAGGCTTCCCTCCCTGCCCCTCAGGCACACCATCCGCCGCCGGTAATCGCATCTTACCTCGAAACGAGGAACTCTTTTGCCCCGCTCGAATCTGCCCCCCTAGAAATGGAGTACGCATGCTCCGAGTCCTCGGCGCCGTCCTCCCGGAAGAGGCGCGCCACTCCCTCGGGCCCCGGTTCATCGGAGTCCTCTGACTCCGACGGAACCGGGGAGTCCAACTTCACCACAGTCACCTCCAAGCGCAACGGAAAGCGCGCCGCGATAAAACGCACCCCCCCACTCCAGCGGCCCCTGCCGCTCCTTCAACCTCCGCAGCCCTCGACGCTGCCCCCGTCCCACTGATGTCAATAGACATCCCCACACCATCCAAACCAGCCTCTCGTTGTGCTCCAGTACTAGCGAAGAAGCAAGTCCCGCCCCCTGTCTTCCTAAGAGACAAGGCAAAATTCACCCAATTATCCAAAACCTGCTACGACGCAGGTATCAAGTATGATCATGCCATCAACCTCGGGGAGGCGATCAAAATCATCCCTGCCTCGATCGAGGACTTCCGTCAGATCACCCGGCTATTCACAGCCGAAAGGGTCTCATACCACACGTACGCTCTCCCTGAAGAGCGTAAAGTTAGGGCCGTCATCAGAGGCGTCCCATTCGAATTCTCTAACGAGGAAATCCTCGAGGACCTTAAGTCCCAAGGTTTCCCCGTAGAAGCAGTGCACAAAATGCACAATAGAACGGGCAAGAGATACAACCTTGCCCTAGTAATCCTGTCAAACGTGCCGGAGGCTAAAGCCATCTTCCGGCAGGTGCGCACAGTGTGCGGCCTGTCAAGGGTGAAGGTAGAGCCCCCACATAGGCCCGGCTTCCCAGCGCAGTGCCACCGCTGCCAACTTTATGGTCACGCGGCGGCCAACTGCTCCGCCCCACCCAGGTGCGTGAAGTGCCTGGAACCTCACAACACAAAAGAGTGTCCCCGGCCCAAAGACGCCGAATCCCCGCCCGCCTGTGTCCTGTGCAACCAGACAAGTCACCCGGCGAACTACAAGGGTTGCCCACGCGCACCTCAACCTCGCCCCAGTAGGAAAGCTCCACCGCCGGTGAATGACCGATCTTTTCCGGCCCTCCAACAACGGCCCCGTCAGGGCCCTTCTCAGCCTATCCAGGGCTTCCCTCGACCCTCTCAGGGTCCCCCTAGGCCCCCTCAGGGTCCCCCCTAGGCCCCCTCAGGGTCCCCCTAGGCCCCCTCAGTGCATAATTCGGCCCCCCTCCAGGCTTCTCCAAGCCAATGCAGCCTCCAGTCTTTCCCTGGGGGCCCAAAAAGGCAGACCCACCGCGGACAACCTCGTATGCTCATGAAGCAGAGCCCACAATCGACGACTACAACATGCTATATTCCGCTATTAGGAATATCGATGTTAGGGAAATAACAGTAGTATCACGCAAACTGCGCGCGGCCAAGTCCCCCCAAGAACGTCTCCTCGTTCTTGCGGAGCACAATAACCTTTTGTTAGCGTTGTAAGTTAGGTTAACTTAATTAACTTAACTTCAATGACTGAGCGAATTAACCTACCTAGATCTCACGGTCGTATCAAACCTAAGGGTTTATCGCTTGTATCATTTAATATTCGCGGCTTGCGAAATAACCTCCCAGAGCTCAAGCTCTTTCTTCGGAATCGTGAAGTCGATTTCCTCCTCCTACAGGAAACTAATCTCAAAGCTAAGGACACTAGAGGCCTTTCTATTAAAAACTTCTCTCTTCTTCGTAACGACAGACCCGACCGCCGAGGCGGCGGAACGGCCATCTATTACAAGAAGACACTTCATTGCTCGCCCATTTCTACTCCGCAGCTTACCAACATGGAAGCCACGGTATGCAGGCTAGCTATGACTGGACATCAGTCCATCCTCATAGCCTCCTGTTACATCCCTTCAGGAACCTATCCCCTCAAAAAGGATTTTGAGGCCATTTTATCTTTAGGCAATTCAGTCATTATGTTTGGAGATTTTAACTCCAAGCATACTGAATGGACATGCCGCACTACGTCCCCTAGTGGCAAGATACTGCTCGATATCACGCAGTCTCTTGATATTACCGTCCATAGTCCTCTCGGTGTTACTCACTTTCCCGATAACACCGATCACGCCCCCGATGTGTTAGATTTTGCGTTACTCCAAGGAGTTTCTCTCAACCTCGGAGCAATCGAGACACTAGACGATCTAGGATCAGATCACCGACCGGTCTCCCTCATTCTTGGCCATCAGCCACCTCCCCCAACACACACGAAAACCTTCACTAACTGGAAGGGATTCAAGGAGTCCCTAGCTAAAGCTTTGGACTCACAGGACTCTACCATCTCCCTACCGTCGGACTTAGATAGTCCCGAAAAAATCGACACCGCGGTCGACTCACTCTCCACCCTTATTAAATCCTC